GAAGGTTTCTGGAGTCCAAACGGATTAGCCTTCAGAACGCACATCGACATTGTCGCGAAATTTCTCGGAAAAAAGGGAATTCCTTCATTGGTCCTTTTTATTTCGGAATAGTTTCCCAAATGATGATTAATCAATTAACAAAAATTCAATAATTACTTGGCATGCGGGGAATCGCTTCAAAAAGCTTCCCCATTGCCCTACGTACTTCAATTTGGTGGTCTATCAATTGGCTATGCAGGGGTCATCGGCAAACACTTGATCGATGATATTACACATGGGTTCTGATCTTATCAGTCGCTAGTTTTCTTCCGTAATATTGCGGTTTTGACGGGATTCCTGCTCTTAATTGGCCATTTTGTGATTTCTTTCGATCGGATTTATTTACTTTCTTATTTGCACGTAAAGGAATCGCTGCACTGTTTGAGTCCCATAAATCCAGGTAGACATTCGCGGTACTAGGTTACTGCAAATTCACCAGTAGTCTTGCAATCATAGGAAATAGGGAGGGTTTTAAGTGGCTTGAGGCTCAAACTTTTCCACGCGTCACCATCACCATTGCTTACTTTAGTAGGCGCCATTCGGAGGCTATTGTCAGTAGATCGTCCCAGCTTCCAGTACCCATTACTTTCTAGCCTCTCAGGACTGATCACTACTTTCACAGTCCCGATGAGACTAGAAACTGAGGTTCGTTTAAGAGACGTGCTCTGCTGCTTTGAGTTCAGCTGTCCGTACCAGTCGTTGGATAATTTTCATAGTACCCTTTTTTCAACGCTATATTTTTCACAAGAATGCTGAGTTATGGGCAAAAGTCGGACCACGGACGGGATTCGAACCCGCATCGCGTCCGTGGTCCGACTCAGCATTCTTGTGATAGCTTTCGATCGCGTACTGCGGCGTTAAACAGCAGTTATCAAACAATAACAGCTATATTTTTCCATTTCATATTGTTTGCCGCCGTATTAGATAAATACGTGGCGCATCCAGTGGTCGCAGTTTTGGCAGGTGTACTGACCCAAAAAAGTGATGCGCTGCACTTCCACTGTCTCCTTTCCGTAACATGATAGTTTCGCCATACGATTCCATTATTGATTCGATGTTGCCAGCTCCGTTTCGTTGTCCATTCAGTCGTTTCTATTTTGTATACTGGCTCTCTTCCTAAAAAAGCGCTAAAAATTTGCAGCGGTACTTTCGGTTCGCTTGTTGAGGTTATGTTAGCACCTGAGAGCCATTTACAAGATTTTTTTTCTGAGATTGGGTTCGGCTTGGCTAGCGCAGTAGATTTGTAGTGGATGCCCTTTGTGTTGCCAAGCTTTCCCTGAAGAAATCCTTCTCCAGAACAGCTTTTACTATGAAGGTTCCAACTGAGAAATCTTTGAAGGAAAAAAGGGGCTTGACATATTTAGCCCTCAAAAATTTGCACCTCAACGAGGATGTGCTTGAATACATGTCGA